CAAATTGACTTCGAAAAAGAAAAATCACTTGATTTTCGACATAAATGTGTCTAATAGCCTAATAGAGCTACAGGCACGTTAAATACCAAATAAAATAAAAAAAAAAAAAAAAAAAAAAAAAAAAAAAAAAAAGATCAAAAAATAAAAAAAAATTAAAAAATGATGCAATAGTACTGATAGTGCGCTCCTTGAACGTAGCCATGGTGCACTGCTTTCTCCATACACGTGCAACGTGAATGATTTTCTGTGAAAGTCTTAGCTTTTAGAAAAAAATCAAAATGCCGGCAATAAACGAAGACGACTTGAAACTATTTCAAACAATCGGATTGAGCGAACAAAAAGCTAAGGAAACTCTGAAAAATGCAAATGTCACGAAGAATCTTAAATTGGCTCTAAACGAGGTTAGTGATTACCGGCGAACTAAGTTTCACCATATGTACTTAAATTTTCGACAAATTAAGAATTGAATCAGAAGAAAAAATTAAAACAAATCATATCTTTAATATTCAAAAATGGTTTTTGGTTTTGAACCGCATTAGTGTCATTGTTATACCGACTTTTTGTGAACATTTCAGTTTACTTCATTAGAATTTCAAGAGCAACCTGATACTAATATAAAAATAACACTAACGCGTTTCAAATCCAAAAACCATTTTTGAATATTAATATACAGCGCGAAAGCATCCTGTATCAAATCATCTTTGACAACTCACCATTGGCAATGTTACATCGTTCAATTTTATTTTATAGTTTGATTGCATCATTACATTTGGTGTCAATTGTGCGACTTTAGTGTTTACTTGTTTTTCAAAATAAATTGTTATCTTGTAGTAAAACTTGAACTATTTGTCAAAAATTTATTACAAAATATTTTTAATAAAATAATCTAAAATTGCAGGCAACTAAATATGGCAATGTTTCTCAAGACAATGGTATTTTGCTGTATCATCTATCTTCTAAGATAAAAAACCAGATTACAGATAAACTGTCGTTTGTTGTTAAGTATATAGCTGAAAAGAAGCTGGATACTGTACAAAGAGTAGATGCCGCGCTGACATATTTATTGACTAATGTCAACAACAAACTGAATGTGACAGAATTTGAGGAATTTTGTGGCATAGGAGTAGTAGTTTCTCCTGAACAGATAGAGGAGGAAGTAGAAAAGATTATAAATAACCATAAAACTGAAATACTAGAAAAGAGGCAAGTATATCTTTATACTAATCATTTATGAAAAGAAATGATAATTATTTTATAAGTAAAAATTATATAAAAAAATATTTTGCACACACACAGATACCGTTTTAATTCTGGCCCATTAATGCAGCAAGTACGCACTATTTTGAAATGGGCAGATGGTAAAGCAATCAAAAATGAATTTGATATTCAACTTCTTGATTTATTAGGCCCAAAAACTGATGCTGATCTTGCATTGCCAACTAAACAAGTGAAACAACCGAAAGATAAACAAGCAAAATCAAAGAAACTTGATGTTGCAAAAGAAGGTGAGTTATATATGATGTTACTTGCCTGGACAAATGTATGTCAGATATCTGTTTTCTATAAAAGAAATTAAAAAATGTTTAGAACAAAAGGAAGCGTCAAATAATGAAAAGGTGGGAGCAAAAACTATAAGCGAACTTATGAAGACTAAAGTTCACTTTCACAAACCTGGCGAAAATTACAAGACCGACGGATATGTTGTAACATCAAACACGCATCGTCTTTTGCAAGAACACTTGAAAGCTACTGGCGGCAAAGTGAGAACGAGATTTCCTCCCGAACCTAACGGGATTTTACACATCGGACATGCAAAGGCTATTAATATCAACTTCGGGTATGTCTTGTGTAGTTTCTGCAAGCCAAATGTATTTTTTTAAAAAAATAATTCCTATAGATACGCCGCTGCTTACGGCGGATTGTGTTATTTGCGATACGACGACACGAACCCTGAAAAAGAAGAAGAGAAATTCTTCGTTGGAATACGCGAAATGGTGGAATGGCTTGGCTATAAACCAGCCGTGATCACGCACTCTTCCGATTACTTCCAACAATTGTATGAATTGGCTGTGGAGCTGATAACAAAAGGTCTGGCCTATGTTTGCCATCAGTCCAGTGAGGAAATGAAAGGTTTCAATCCTTTGCCGAGTCCTTGGCGGGACAGACCGATCGAAGAAAGCTTACAGTTATTTGATGTCAGTATTTTTATTATATATTTATGTCACACATCTCTTATTGCAGTATATATAATTTATTTTGTTTACTTTTAAAACTAGGATATGAAAAATGGCTTGTTGGAAGAAGGAGAAGCTACTTTACGCATGAAAGTGACTTTGGAAGAGGGCAAGCAGGATCCTGTTGCATACAGAATAAAATATTCGCTTCATCACCGAACCGGTGATCAATGGTGCATCTATCCGACTTATGATTACACCCACTGCTTATGCGACAGCATCGAAAATATCACTCACTCTCTTTGTACAAAAGAATTCCAATCACGAAGATCATCCTACTATTGGCTTTGCAATGCCTTGAACGTTTATTGCCCTGTGCAATGGGAATATAGTCGATTAAACATGAATTATACTGTAGTTTCCAAGAGAAAAATTGCCAAGTTGATAGAAGAGGGGATAGTGTCTGACTGGGATGATCCTAGGTGCGTAGAATATGTAGTGATATTCATTTATTATACAATATGTGATATGCATTTATTAGTAAAATATGTACTATTAATATAGTTTTTTTCATTTTTTCTCAGATTATTTACACTGACTGCTCTACGTAGACGTGGATTTCCGCCGGAATCTATAAATAACTTTTGTGCTCAAATGGGTGTAACCGGAGCACAATCGACCGTTGATCCGACAGCGCTGGAAGCAGCTGTCAGAGATGTTCTGAATCTCACCGCTCCTAGATTTATGGTCGTTTTAGAACCTATTAAGTTGACTATCAAAAATTTTCCTCATCAAGATTTCATAGAGCTCGACGTGTTCGATTTTCCCAACGAAGTAGAAAAAAAACATAAAATTAAGTTCAACGAAATTATATACATAGAAGCTTCGGACTTCAAAGAAGTACGCAGTGTATATTCTATTTTTGTTAAAATGTATTTTACTATTTATTAATTTTATTTGCATATCACGTTTGCAGATCGAGGAGAAAGGTTTTCGACGTCTGACACCAAAACAACCTGTAGGTTTGAAGTATGCAGGTGTTGTGGTGACATTTGAAGACATCGAAAAAGATGACAGTGGCAACATCATAAACATAATTGTCAGACAAGAACTCGTGACGGAAAATAATAAACCGAAAGCCTTTATCCATTGGGTATGCAATCCTGTATCGGCTTCGGTCAGACTATACGAGCGTTTGTAAGTACGGATACATCACTGACAAGGAAATTACAATAACTTCAACGTTCTCTAATGTGATCAAGATTATTTTTATTCTTCTTTTAGATTCAAGCATAAAAATCCAGAAGATATAAATGAAGTACCAAACGGATTTTTAAGCGACATCAATCCAGCCAGTAAAAAAGAAGTCGTAGCATACATGGATGAAAGCTTAGCCAAAATAGCGAAAGTGTACGATAAGTTCCAGTTCGAACGTTTAGGTTATTTCTCTGTCGATTCCGATACCAAACCTGGCAAGGTGAAACATATATAGAAGCAGCAACATATACATGTGTTATTTTTTCAACATTATATTATCAGTATTTTTTTTAACATCTTTAACATATTTTTTTCAGATTGTTTTTAATCGCACTGTAACATTGAAGGAAGACGCAGGAAAAGTGTGAGCATATTTTTGAGGAAAGCACTATAAACAAGTTTATTTTATTGCTTTTATTTCTTTTTCTATATAAAGATGCAAAACAAGTATGTATGCAACAGAAATACGTATAATGTAAATAATTTTCTTAACATATTTTCTGTAATATATATATATATATATATCATATCATATTTGTCTTTATTATGTCTTTAATATATATGACTGTTTTATAAAGATAAATCTTGCATATTTCTTGAGTTATATTTTCATCGAAAGATAAATTTATTCGACAGAATATAGTATCATTTACTATCTGTTCCGAAAATTTAATTCATCATACAAGATTCATAAGTAGGAACCATGTATTTGATATTGATAAAAGCGTCCTCGCCTCCGTATATTTCCAATATTTCGAGGGTTTCTTGTATAATATCTGCTACATTTTCCCCTCTTTGCTGAGAATAATCAATGCCTTCTCCAAGGTTCACTAAATCACAAAAAAAAACATGACATTATGATATTTGCATGTAAACAGAGTTTATTAAAACATATACTTTACCATTTCTATCTTTGAGTAAGTTAGGAATAGGCAAAATTTGTCTGAAATATGGAACTAAAGCTTCACCGACACAATCGGCTGAACGTACTAAACGCTGAAGAACTTTCATAGTCGTGCAGATTATTTCTGGTATTCTTGTATTCAAAGCATCTAATATTAAAAGTTTTTTTTGCAACAGTATTTATACATATTTTACATATTAAAAGAATAGATTATATAGAATTAGATTGGATTATATAGAATTTACTCTTAATAGGAATAATTAGTTGAGGAACAACTGGTAATATCTTTGATCCACCGCGCTCCAGCATGTCAGATATCCCTTGCTCCGCCAGAAACTTGTACGGTTGTTCCGTTTCTGTCAATCCATCGAAAAACATTGGTAGATAATGATGAAAATCCAAGTCCTCTATATCCACCTTCCAGTTAATTTTCTGATCAAAACCGATGTTTTCTAGAGAAATAGGGAATACGCCACGTTTGTAGAACTTTCGGAAGGTCGACGGTTTAGGCGGACGTGGTTTATACAATTTGCATCGCGGCGGTTTCGCAACAATCGTGTTCTCCTACATCCAAAATCGACATCGTTATTGCGTACACGTTATTGTTATCTTTCAATCGTTGTCACATTAACTCGCGTCACCTGCAAAGCTTGAATAGTAAATGCAGGAACTACTCGTGGCTTCCTTTTCTTGTATCGCGGTATGTCCTTTCGAATTTCCGACCAAAACTCTTTTTCATTTACCATTCCGATACCTGTCTCTATTTCCAGGAGTTCAAAATTACATATTGTGTTTGAGTTTAATATATTAATATAAGAGATTATATGACATATTTTGATAGAACGGAATTAGATCAAACAATACTTTTGTCTCTTAGCAACAAACTTTCTGTCAGCACCTGCATAGTACCTGCTTTACGTTGCAATAGAGATAACTCGATTTTGTAAAAGGATGTAAATAATTTAAATAAGCTGAATGTTTTACAAGCTCATAAGTTATATATTATTAATTATTAAATTAAACCATATTATATCATATTAAACAAAATTTTATTTAATTTTTGTAAATACATTATAATATCGATTCTGAAATGTCACGTAATGTTTTTTTTATTCATACTAAAAAATATATATGATAAAAATAGAAAATTTTATTCATAATTTAATAAATGAATAAATAATTAGTCTTAAGGAGCTTTTCGCAGGATGTTGTGCGAATGTTGTTTTTTTCGCAATATTTTAAATGAATTGGGGGGGGGGGNGGGTATTCGGGGTCTATCATATATGAGATGCAAAATTAGCATCCTATATGAATTTAAGAATTGAAATTTCAATTCAAAAAACACGTGAAAAACGTGAATTTACTTATAGATGTGTACACACATATAAGATATTTTCCGCACAACATCCTGCGAACGGCTCCTTAAACCTAATTATTTATTCATTTATTAAGTTTAATAAACTTCATGAGCCTGAGGAGATCCTCAATTTAATATTGATTGTTTATTCATAATGTAATATTTTCTTAATTTTATTGATGCTACATTTGAAACTGATTCTTTCGTCTTTGCTGTTGTATAGCAATTGGCTGCCCAAAGCAGTCAAAGTTTGTACTGTTGAACGCAGCAGACGAAAGAACCAGTTTCAAATGTAGCATCGATAAAATCATGAAAACATTACATTATGAATAAAATTTTCTTAAAATTTTTATCATATATATTTTTTATTATAAACATAAAAAACATTATTTTTGACATTTTAGAATCGATTATGAATATATTTAAAAAAGCTGAATAAAAATTTTGCGCTCACGCGATATACGAAATATTAATGCTAGTTCGGTGCGTTGTTTTCTCGATCCGAGCTCGCTCTGCGATTTTTCCTTGACATTTCCAAATTTTTCTCTCTTTATATCCATACAAAAATAAAAATAACAAATGTAAAATTAATGAAACTACCACTCTTGGCCGTGTACTTTTTTAAAATAAATTTTTAATAAAGTATATTTAAAACTTTTTTATCCAAAATAAAAAACGAAGTTAAAATAATATATACATACATATTTTGTTTTTTAAATTAAATCGATATTCTCATTGTATTTATATATTATAAAAACGATATATTGTACGTATTTATATTTTATTTTATAAAAGTTATGAGATGTACATGTTGCTCGACAGAAATCGCAAAAAGATGATAGTCTCTTCTGTTATGAAGAAAATTTTAACAATTATTAATTAATAAAAAATATAATCGAAAACTAATGTTTTACAATTGTAATTCATTTATCGCATAAAAAGATATTCAGATATTCACACTTTTACTTTTTTTTTATTAAAAAATAATTGTTAATATTTTCTAACAATAATAGATAGAGAAAAAGAAAAGTTATTCGCAGTAAAAATGTTGCAATTACATTTAATAAAGCGTTCATACTTCACTTAATATAATATTTTAAATGATACTTGTTTCAGTAAAAATAAATAAATTTTAAATGATTTCCAGTTTGGAAATTATGTAGCACATTAGTGAAATACTAAATAAATATTTTATAGTATAGTAAACAAAAAAAGAAGTTGTTTTCAAAAAGTAATAGATATATTTATATTTATAATAGATATATCTGATATTTGAGGCTTTTTTACAATGTTTCATCGCGGTGAATTGTATCATTAGATTTGCTTTCCGAGTTGGAGACGCGTTGTCCTTGGTTAGTATTCATTCATTTCGTAAATTTCATCGTTGCTTCTTATCCTGATGAAATGAACTAAAATGTTGACAAACTATCGAATGCGAAATCAAGAACGCGTATCTGACTTGGAATACAAATCTAGCAGTTATTTATACATGTAATAAAGATTAAGTACTTTTATGCGACTGCTGGATTGCTAGTAAAACTGTGATATACATATAGACACATTTAATTTAAACTAAACTATACACATTTGTAGGAAAGAAAGCAGGTAAGACCTCGAAGATATGTAAATTAAATTGTATAAATTGTTGCAAGAGCAAGTTTGCAATGACTTTTGCTTTTAGTTTTCAAGTGGACCGAGGACAACAACCTGTTTTATTTAGAAATAGTAGTCGGATGTGTGATGTACGAAGCGGAATGTGTTCTTCATTTCAATGAAGATGTACCCTAATTGTATGCACGTACCGAACTAAACTTTTCGTATAAAAGCGCCGACTTGCCAGCCCAATGATCACACTCGATCCGAAATTATAACCACCAGACACAATGAGAAGCTTTGCGGTAAGTATCAGTCCAGAGTTTTATATATACAGGGTGTCCCAGAATGGCCGTACAATCTCTCGTAGGCAGGTAGAAGGAGTAAAACTGAGTCGAGAAGTCTTATACCATTTTGCTAGATTCGCAATAGTTACTGAGATTTTAATTAACAAAGATCCGCGAATAAGCGTGCATCGGGCTGTCTTACGCGCATAGGACAGCCCGGCGCGCTT